GCCATGTGGTGCCGGTCAAACTCATACCTATCCAGGAGTGAGTTCCCGCCAAATCCACAAAGCACTGCTGCCAATTTGCATGCGAGGTTGTGCACATCGCCCAAAGAACCAGTTAACGGCGCTCTTTGCCCCGTCACACCCCACCAAGTAAGCGCATGTCACGGTATACACTCGACAAGCCTCCCGCTCAAACTAGTAACGAAGTTCACCCAGTGGGCATCTTCGCGATTTATCCCGACACTACAGATCTTATTGACATCCAACCCGAATTGACGGCATAGCTCCAGTGATCTAGATGACAGTGCGTGGGCCTTTGATGCATGCAGTCTGGTGGGATAGTGTTCAACGATCAATGTCCGAACTTGATGAGGAGAGTTAAGAGTCGTACGCAATAATGATAGACACTAGGGTAGATATAAATTACTCCCGAATCGCGCGAGCATGAAAGCGAGTATGCAGCCACAGGTACCACTTCATATAATCAAGATAGGGACATCATCATGGATGACGGTATCTTGAACAGGAGACATTCTCCGATTTTATTTTTGCTTTATATATATATATTTAGGTAATCTCATGGCGGTCCAGAATATGGTGCGCTAGATGAATTGATATTGTTTCGTTCAGTGTTTACCTTCCTCAGTATGGGATTGGCTGCTTATTCTCTCGGAAAGTCTGACATTTGCCCCTCATTTATAAGGAGCAAGCCAATTCCAAAATGTCCTGAATTTGCCTATCAGAAGCCCGCATTCTTTGATACTCGCTGCATGGATGATTCCCCACTCAGAGTGGCAAGGGCAAGTGGGGAATCTTGAAAATCGATGCGTCGATAAAGAGACCCCAAGGAGCTCAGCCAGTATTAACTAAGTAACTGGGCAGGAGAGGGAAGACAGTGGAAACGTGTTGACTTCAAACCATAGTCTGGTAAGATAGATAGACAATAATATTATGAACAGTAGGTGAAATTGGCTGCTTATATATCCAAAACCTGCAACTTCTTTTGTCGACCGAGAGAACAGAAGTGCACTTTTGTCCGCTGACATGCAACAAATCAAGCAAAGGCAGGAAAGTAGAATAATAAAAGAATCAGAACGCCGCGCCAGATGCACCGATTTCCCCGAGTACGCCAATTAATGAATTCCCAATATCAGGACCACCAGAGGTCTAGCTTGCGACCGCTAATTGTGCCACGAGATCAGAGGCAACGTCAAGGAACGGATAAGGGCTAGTTATCTCCTTTTCCTTGTTCCGGAATCTTTTGCTGATAGGATGCCATTCAGTATCGCTCTCCGCACGGATCACGTTCTGGTATCCATCACACTTGAAGTCCACCATGTAGTTGTTTTCCTCCAGTTGATATAACTGGATATCAACGAAAACCCAAACACCATATGCCACGCGCGGAATTGAAAGATGTTGGGAAGCCGAGGAAGGGCCTGATGCGCTCCAATGTTCATTGGGACTGTGGCTTTTCTCATCCACTGAGGATGGTCCACCAGTCAGATTGAATCTCCGACGTAGTTCGCTAATATCGCTCCTGCTGCTATGCACGCTGCCAGACGAGCCAGGTGCTTTGACGCCTTCTTTCAAGAGACGTGCCCGTATGAACCACGGATCTTTTGGAATATAGTAGTCCGAAGGTAGATCTGGATACTTGCTTTGAAGCGGCGTGGGTTCATCGGGGGACTGCGAGCCTATTTGAGTACCTTGACATCTTGGTTAGTTTAAACTGAATCAAAGCTTCGAACTATAGATGAACTGACCTGACTCGGCTGGAAGAATTTCCCATCGTCCTCTCTGCGCTGCAATAGCTTTATAGAGATAAAGCATTGCCTCATATGGTTGGTTACGAGACCGGATCCCAAATTGCCATTTGCGGGTTTTCCTGGGTTGATGCGGGGCGTTACGAGCTTCGGGTGGTTCGAGACGCAGCTTGTCTAAATCGACGATGCTGCGGGAGTGAGGTTTCAGGGCCTTGGCTGTTGCCTCCTGTTCCTCTAAAGAACGACCATCAAGGCCAGATCGATGTGGATCTTCAGAGGCATCCAAGCCTGACCGAGCCTGCTCCTCTGCCAGACGGTCTGCGGCGCGGGCTCTTTGTTCTCGCTCGCGCTGCTCCATCAATTGATCATGGACGTAAGGTAAACTAGTTGGCAAGATCCTAACATGGCTGACGCGCGATGTTTCCAAGTTATCCGAGTCACTTGGCTGATGCAGTTGGAACGACTGGCGCTGTGAACCGCTTCGAGTTCTCGTAGGTGGCCCGGCCGGAGCTCCTTGTGAGTGAGCAGCAGTGGGTCGGCCAGCTGCTGCCGACGAGACTGATGTCCGACCCGAAGGTGGCGGAGGTGCAGAGGGCAACATATTCTCATCAGTGGGAGCTAGTGTAAATAATTAGCAAACTACCCTCACTCAAGCAGCCTCTATCGATGTCCAGATTCTGGTAGAGAAGAGGGGGGTAGAGAAGATATCGTAAGACTCACAGTTAGTTTGCATCATCTCATTTTCTACGATGATAAAGAACGCATCTTTGATTGCACTGGGTTCAGGATTTTTTAGGGCATCCTCGATATCTTCACGGCCATATCCCATATTTCGTTCCAACTTGGCGATGGCAACCTGGTGGATCTTGTGTTGTACTGATATCGGCTTCCCGGGCGCAATCTTGCGTGGATCGATTGCCTTGTTAGGATCCACGCCTGTTGCAATGAATTCCTCGGGCGGTAGCTGAAGATATTTCGGAAGATCCTTTTGGAACCATGGGTCCTGGCGAATTTCGGGAATTGTAAGTCTATGAACAGGATGCACCTGCAGCATTGACCTAATCAGGCGGGCGGCTCCGGAAGATATATAAGGAGGCATATGGAAATTGCCAGCGGCAATTTTTTTGAAAAGAGCCGGAATATAATCATCGTCAAAGGGAAGTCGTCCTACTAAAAGCACGTAGAGGATGACACCACAGCTCCAGACGTCCACCTCAGGCCCCGCGTAAAGCTTTCCAGAAATGACTTCAGGTGCTGCATAGTTCGGGCTACCACAGCTGGTCTTGAGGAAGTTCCCATCAGTCATAATATTGCTCAGCCCAAAATCAGCGATTTTGACGTTCTTTTCACTATCGATGAGCAAGTTCTCTGGCTTCAGATCACGGTGAACGATTTTATGGCGGTGACAGTATTCTACTGCACAAATTATCTGCTGGAAGAACTTGCGAGCCTCGGCGTCATTGCATCTACCTCTCTTCACCAGGTAATCAAAAAGTTCACGTTCCGCATATTCTAGGACCATGACAATGTCGGTTTTAGTTGCAATGACAGTGTATCTGTCATAGACATGCGCCAGTCAGCTATTTAGTTCACTCTTGGTTAACTTCAAAGAAGGGGTATGGAATATACAGCTTAATAATGTGAGGATGCCGCAACAGTTGAAGGTACTGAATTTCACGCTCAACACGTCCAACCATGTCCCGTGACAGCAGCTTGCGACGAGAGATGATCTTCAGGGCGACCTGACGACCACTAGGCTGGTGAATAGCCAACTTGACTTTACCAAAAGAACCCTCGCCCAGAACCTTCACAGTTTGATACTGATCGAGGCGCTGCATATCCCTGGTGGTCGCAGGGGACTGCATTGACGGATCACCGCCCCTTCCGATCGGCCGTGATGGCGGGGGCATTGTCATTCCAGCGAAATTCGAATCGGGAGGAGTCGTTCCAGAAGCACGTTCACGACGGCGATCGCGGTCGTATGATGGAAGGGGGACCGAGAGGTCCTCGTCATCGAAAGCGGCGGCCATCCTAACGGACAGCAGCGGTTCGGCAGGGTCGGGGAGAACGTGACGTGATGGATTTTGAGTGGTTCTCGGGGGTGAACTCCGACCGTATGAAATACCTGAGGAAAACCGAATGGGAGAAAATTCAAATTGTCAAATGATGCGCCACGGGGCTCAGGTACACTTAAGTCGGATTCGATGGACGCCAATTAGAAACAAAATCGAAACCGACACAGAACAGTTTCTCCCCCACAGCAGCTCAGGGTTGGTGAAAGTGGAGCGCTGGAGAGAGCCGACAACGCAGAAAGAACCTGACCTCTGGCGGGGCGGGATGGAGGGGCGGAAGGCCAGTCACATAGACACGGGAGCGAAGTCGGACGCTGGAAATAAGTATATTTGTATCGGGAGTTGAGTTAAATCTTCAGTCAAAAGGAAGGGCAAAAGTCAAATCAACAGTAAGCTGGCTGGTGTCCAGAAGATGGATTTGGTGGGATTGCAATAAATGAGTAGTGCAATGGCCTGGGTTATCAGGTATAATATTGCCGGCTAATTTGGGAGACGCTATGAACCTGGAAAAACAATAGTTCAAGAGTCTAGAACCACGATCTGTATCCAGAACGACGTAAATCCCCTATTTTTATGGATCTTGGTAATTTGAGTTTTTTCCTGGGCAATAGCTTCCTATACAGCATGGTTTCTCATATACGTGTCTTAGAGTAGTACCGAGGAAGTCTGCTATTTCGTAGTAGATCACGCTTGTACTCTGTATTGTTAGAACAAATTCAACGGTCCCCGTGACTACGAATCCTCAGGGCTGAAATCTAAAGTAGCAATTTGCGTTAAAAGCATTAATATTACCAAGAGTCTAGAACATACTTACTGACTCTTGGTAATAGATAATATCAACTGCAATGTGGGAGAATAATTCTGTATTGTCCATAGTTATACACACATCAGCTTTTTGTCATACAGGAACAATGATGATGATTTACCCTCAAACGGTAAAGCGACGCTCTCTAGTTCTTGGCAGCCGCATGTCATGTGGTGGGGAAGCTCAGCGGTTCAAACAATTAATCTCCATGCTTTTGGGTTGTCCTTGTACCCCTTGTGCTCAGAGAATAGAGGCTGTGCCTGTTTCTAGCATTGATAGTTTAAGCCTCATTACTGAATTTATTTCTCTTCTTCGAGCCCGTCATCGCTGTGCTGCTGGTCAACAGCATAGAGCTCCGTCATGGCTTCTGAACCAACAGAAGAAGCCATTGCGAACTTTGTGAGCTTCACAAGCACAAGTCGCGAACAGGCAATCAACTTCCTTAAAGTCAGTTTTTTAAGTCGCGCACCTATTCTCACTACACCAGAGCCTTTGTCATTCTTCACTATACTTCGCATGCTAATGTGTCATCTACCCCAGGCTAATGACCTCAACTCAAATAAAGCCATCAATGCCTACTTCGAAGATCCCACAGGTCCGCAGACACAGGTATCATTATTTTTTTCTTTTCAAGTACACTTTGTTTGATATGACATTCCTGCTGACCAGGGCCGGTCTCTTTATAGGCTTCCAATTACCTAAATGACCCAAACATACCCTGTGCGTCCAAACCCGGTTCGACGCGAACCACATACATCTACTGACTGACTGTCTGCCATTCGCAGCGTTTCATATCGAACACTCCGACCCAGTTCCTAGCTCAGTTCCTCCCTCACGCCCACCGACCACATTAGGCGAGAAAGCACAAGGACCTGAGTATCAACAGGCGACCCCTCCGCCTTCGCAGAACGCTACGGGTGAGACCACCTCACTGCGAAATTGTACCAAGCTCACTAACTTCGATCTTACCGGGCTATGGCAGATCCCCGCAAAGGATTATCACTTGCTGAGCAGGAAGAGCGTGAGCTACAACAAGCTGTGGCCATGTCCTTGAACCAAAACCTTGGACAACAGGAGACAGGCGTTACAACTTCAAACAAATCGAACTTTGGCCGGGCCACCCGTGACTTTTATGATGAAGGTGCCTGGGCAATGACTTTATTTAACTCTAGCGCTCGCGAAATTATCATCAGTCCAAACCCGGGAGACCGGAAGAGGGTGGAAGGCGAACCAGCATTTCTGCGTCCATCAGAAGACAGTCTATATCTAGGCGGGCTGTTGACCATCCTTCACTCTATACCCCTGGCTCGGGAAGCTCTCCTGCAAAGAAATAGGATCCTCTCGAACTATGGGCACGACCCGCAGTGGTGGAACGGACAACCAATAAACCTTCCAAAAATAGTAACAATTCAAGATGCACACGACGGCGACACGGATTGGGATGATATAATCTACGAAACACAGAGACTTGTCGCCTTTCTGGATACTACGGAACGCTCCTTTGGTAGCGTGGATGCTCTTACAGGCTTAAAGAGCATGTCTACATACGACTCGGAAGGCAGCATAGGCAGGTTTTTGGAAACATGGCAAGATGCCGCTGTCCGAGCAGATCCTGGGAATCAATTGTCAACTGTTTTCTCGTCGAAGGCATATAAACGACCTCTTACTGTTTACGACACACCTATACACAAAGATTTCTTCATCCTTGAGTCATTCGTGGACCCTGAGCATGGCCAAACTCTCTATGACGTTTTGGATCGCGCCATTTGGTCAGACAGGCCTGGTGAAGAGCTTGACGATGTATGGTTGGAGCATATAGGTGAAATATTCACTATCAGATTGGAAAATACCGACAGTACAAAGCCTGTTGATGTAAAAATTCCTGCGGTCTTCTACCCTGATCGATATCTCGCCAACTCCAGAGATTTTTCTCGCGACTTTCGTGCCCAAAGGCTTCAGGAATATGACGGAATATCCAAATTAGAAAGCCTGATTGACCGCTTTTCGGCATCAAAGTCTGCTATGCACAGCAGAGGGATGACTCTGAAGGAAACGCTAGAGAAGGCTGCTTCTGCAGTCTCCGTAACACTGCCCAAGAGCCTTGCAAATGGCGCGAATGGGTTGTCTTTGAGCCCGGAGGCGGCAAACGCGGAGGCGAAACGTTTAGCAGATGAACTGCGAGAAGTCTCCAGTAAGATTGATGATAAGCTGAAAGGTAAGCCTCTTGTTATCCCAATCGTGCTTCTACATACTAACGCTACCTCCAATCAGAGCTGGTTCAAAGAAAAGAGAGCGCTATTGAGACACTTCGAAGCTACACAAAGATATTAACGGAACCGTCGAACATCCCAGGGAAAACACCTCATTATAAATACACCCTACGCGGGGTTTGTACTGAACCGCACGTAACTTACGTGTTACGGTCTAACAATCACACGGAGATGGCGGACACCGAACCTACAGCCGTCGATGAGTGGCAGTGGTGGCGGATCAGCTTTTCAACGGATGACGCAAAAGCTCGGCAAGCGGAGTCGCAGCAGAGTGGTGCGTCCACTTCCAAAAATGGAGATGTAATTGGATATACGGCGCGCAAAGTTCGAGAAATTGAAGTCCTTAAAGCGGCTCGTGAAGAATCCAAAAATGTTTTGCTTATCTACGCTAATGGCAATGCGATGAATTTCCGAGAGGAGCCAATTCCATCTCCACTCCAGGTATGTCTGTTTATTTCTGGAGTTAAACCTTAGGCTAACCCCGATCTAGGAATTTGTCAATGCAGACAATGCAACATTTGACGCTGAGTTCAAAGAACAAGAGCGTGCGGAAGATGCATCTGACAAGCAAAATGAGGATTCAAATTCTGCCACTCGTCAGGATCAGAGCACAGAGATGAATGAACTAGCCCAAGACTATCAGCGAGAAACTACCTCGGCCGCTGCAAATGTAAACGTGTTCGACTATCAAGTTTCAAGCTTCGGTGACGCAGTGGAGTCCAGCCAGGAAATGCAGGAAAGGGGAGGGCGAACTCTACTAGGTCAGAGTAGTACAGCAGGTCCTGTACAATATTTGCCGAGTACCAATACCGCATGGAACCAGTAATGGTGGAAGTGCGAAGGCGATGTGGCTGCTATGCATCTCCAGTGTCTATATGTTGGGATTAATACATACGAGGTATTAAGGATACATATCTTGCAATATACCAAGTACAGTACTCAAGTACACCAGCTAAATTGTAAACCATCATTATATTTCCACTTGTGTTAAGGTGCAGCATACCAGCGGGATACAATAGGTTTGACGGTATTCTCATGCCCATGAGATTGCCTACATAAATCAATCCACAGCGACCGTTGATCAACGGTGCAACAACATACCCACATGGCCCCCTATTCGGTATGTTTGTATGTCATGTTTGCATCCTAACCCCAACATAGGCTTATTGAATAATGAAGCTCGGTTTCCATACATTACCACTACATATATACAATGGGTCTCGAAAATGAGGCAGTAGCCGGGGCGACGATTGAATTGCTCGAGTCACGCCTCCGGCAACTCACCTACCTTCTCACGGGCGACGCAAATTGGACGGGTGTTCCCACTGCACCCGCGAAACCAGCTTCTTTGGATGACAGTGTCTCGCGCCGTCTTCTCAGCTTAGAGCGAGAGCTTGAGAGACTTAGTCGAAATATCCCCGCAGTGCGGGATGTGCTTCTTCTCCGTACGGGAACTCATCCTACTATGATCGTACACACACTAATATACTGTTCTAGATGACCGCTTCCCCGATCTCTTTCGCCCTACACCACCGCAAACATTCCCGGAAAACCTTTCAACCAAGAACCTCGCCTCAATAGTGTTATCGTATGCTTCTGCATTTCCAGAGACCGCCTCGCGACTCACATCATTAAACGATCTCCCGATTCCGGATACGCAGACATCGGCCTCCCTCATCCAGCTTCAGCCGCGATTGGACCAATTGGCGCAGGTGCAGGAGGAACAGGCGAAGCAGATCTCAGAACTACGTGTACGGACAGCACGAGCTTTACAACGGTGGTATGAAATTGCTTTGGTTGGGGGTGGCGAATGCTGGGCGGAATGGGAAGGGCGCCTTGAAGATGTTGAGCGGGAAGTAAAAAGGGAGGAAGTGGTGAGGGAGCGGAGGGCGAAAGAGCTTTGAGCGTCTTGATGACGTTTCAGTCTTGTGCATTACGACTTATGATACCTCATAGTTTACATTTTTCGTACATTGATTCGGCGCAGCGCCTCCTTTACTGTTGCGGGTTCTCACGTAATCTCCGGGATATTAGAAGGAACGAAACTATGACTATGTGCATATCGTGACCAAGATTATGAACAAAAGCTGTCCCGGTCTAGAAGAGGGCCACAGCCCCTGCAGAAAGCGCAAGGTACAAACACCCATTGCAGATGGCAAAACTAGACCGGTCGGAAAGAATTGTTCAGGACTGATGTTGACTCACGACGAAACAAGACAGGGGGGATCGTGCATGGCCGCCTATTTTTCTCCTCATACGCACGATCAGCATGCACGATTTTCGGAGCTATAAGATGACGGTGCAAGGCACATAGGAAGCCCATGGCCATCATATGGACCCTTGCATGTTTCCGGGGCTCCGAGAAGTTGGGATCTTGCCGAAATTACCGTTATAAGGTGGGTAATGGATATAGATGGGAATGTGAATTCTATACCTCGCCTCGGCTGCAATTTCCCCATCTCTTGGCTAATTAGCGTTGTGCATAATTGTTAATTAAACCGACCAGTTTATCTGCACATGAGGTCTGCAAGTATTGCCTATCGGACCAGGAGTTGCAATAGGGTCTTTGGATCCACGGCATGGATGGGTCTAGGTTCAGACAGAAGAAAATAGGTTATTCTCGAGTGTACAACTGCGACTGCATGGATTATATTTTTTGGGGCGTTGCTTGATAACTGGTCCGTTGCTGGAAAGAAGGGAAAATCAATGGCTAGAAAGTAATAAAGGGTTTCTCGGCATTTTGATTTTCAGGCATCTTAATTCTAAGAAAAATGCTTAATATTAACAGAATTACTATGGACTCGGGAATATAGTGGCCTTCTTCATGTGAATAGCCCTACTTTGTTGTTTTTGCCTTTTTTCCTATTTTTTCTCTTTTTTAATTCGGATCCCGAGTGTACTCCGGAGTAGAAAAGGATCCCATTAATTAGCACTTTTAGTGTGGTGAGTATGGTAATGGAAAACTGAAGGATTTCCCAAAACCTACTCATGCAGACTACAAGCAACGTTCCATAAATCAGGATCCATTCGTGGATATGAAAGTTGGACACCATGTTGATCCTTTACTCTTTTATGATGCCGTCAAGCCACTCATGCCACATCTCAGCCTCAGCCCTGGCCAGAATTTAATGAGAGGAACCCACTATCTGCACTAACAGTAATTAAAGCAAAGACCGAGTTGCGTGTCGCCCATCGCAAGCGGAGAAGAGGGATCCATTCAGGCAGTTTTAAATCAAGATCTCATTTCGATCTTTGAGTGCCATGGGTTTAGTCATAATAATGATAGGCAGCGCCATTTAATTGTCATTCCGAGAGTTCAGTCAATGGGGAATTGTGACAATGAGAGTCATTGTGGGGATAGGATGATAGGCTACGAAGGAATAGAATCCTTTGGCTATGTGTTACCAAGAAAATAATAGTTAACTAACATAAAATAGACATGCGTAATTGTCAGAATTAAAAGGGAAAAAAAAACCCCAAAAAAATCCATAACTGTGTCATGGCCTTCTAGTGTTCATAATCCGCATAAGAATAGTAACGACAGAAACTTAGTTCGGGCGAGGACCAGTCGCTATGCGTTCTCGATCTTTCAGGCCAGGGGCCAAACCAGGAACAGCAACCAATCAAGTGGAGTCCGTGTGTTTGTGGAAACGGGGTTCGCGTGGACGCTCCAACACCAGTGGGTGTGAAACCTGCCAAGTGGTACTCTAGTGTCGTAGTATCTCTGCCTTGCTGCCTCAGTGTCCAGTCCACATTCTCTTTCCCCTCCCGTCCCATCTTCTCTCCTTTTCCCGACTGGACGAAGTATTCGACTTGTTCAACATTTTGCACTTCATTTTCCCCATCTTTGTTACTTTTCTATCACTCCTTCACCCATCAGTCGCTTTTACGTGATCGACTTTTCACTCGTTTCCACTCTTCCCCCCTCTCTTTTGCTGTCATCCCTTCTAACGTTTCATCTTGATCTTTCCTTCCTCCAGCCAGGCGCTGTTGTTTATTTGTTGCCTGCAAGGGGCATTCTTGTTTCTAAACTTCCCTCAACCAACCTCTCAAGGGACACGCTCTTTGGTCTCTTGATTGCTGTCTCAGAATATAGTGCTTCTTGACATTTTTTATTTTTTATTTTTTAACTTTACCTTGACCAACCTCCTTGTCAATATTCTTGCTTTACCTCTAAGGTACGATCATGCACTTGCGCTGACTGACCGCCTCTGTTCTTCTATTTTCTTTTATTCAATTTTTTTTTAAACACGAGTCACTGGTTCGTGTTGTTATCATTCACGATGTTTTCGATCAACCGCCAATTGATCTACATGTTCTCTGTCCTTCGCGTCTAGAACTACACAACGAAACTAACCGCTTGATAGTAGCACGCTGACTTGATCGATAAATGCCATATATTATCAGAAACAGCAACTGATATTTCCGGGGAACCTTGCTCAGTCATTTGATCTTGTTTGAAGAACGCAAAGGAGTGATTATAAAGTCACCGCCATTCACAGACGTGATATACCTCTTCGGTCACTTATACCGACGGCAAAGAACCAATCTCGAACGTCCTATATATTCTGTTTCGTCCTTCCCTTACCACATTCATGGTGGCTTACTCCACGCATTCCTCATCTCTACATAAGCCGAGCCCTTATAAAGAAAGTCCTCGAAGAATGGCGAGATTCCGTCCAAGCAATATCCTCGGCGACCCGTTCGCGCTTGCAACGATCTCCATTTCGATAGTATGTGTCTTAGGCAGCGGGGTGGTCCAGTCTTGGTGATTGATGCTAATGGGGTCTCGTTTGTAGCTGGCATGGGTCATTGCATTCATATCGTCGATTGTCTCGGCTATTAATGCCCGTGGCTATCCCACCTATTCATGGTGGGGAGTCGCTTATTCGCTTTGTATTATTCTTGGGATGACATTCGTGTTTGGTACGGATACCGGTTCTGTCTACGGTGTAGCTGTATGGTTTTCCTGGTGCCCTTTATGCACATGAGCCAAAGCTGATCAGCAACAGATTGTGGGGTATCTTTCCGCTGGTATGGTAATCACGACACTTGGTGTGAATTCGTTGGTCTATCGCAGCGATTCTGCATCGCAAGCTGCAGGTGCCGGATTTATCCTCATGTCTATGGTGATAGTGAGTCTCATTCCGCTTCCAAGGCATCGAATATAACTCACGAGTTCAATAGGTTATCTGGATATTTTATTTCGGATCGACGCCGCAAGCCTCGCATCGTGGATTCATTGACTCGTTCGCTCTCCAAAAGGAACACCCCGGAGCATATGGCAACGGCAGACCTATGTCTACGGCCTTCGGAAACCGACCTGAGACTACTTCCAGCCAGGCGCCTCAAATGTATACATCGGCACAGCTCAATGGTTTTGAGACGTCATCGCCCGTATCGGGCTACCCAGGCGGCGCCCCCGGTTCGGAAAACCGCAGCTCATCGCAACCTCGATTTGGCAATCCTTCGAACGCCAACTTGCCTGCCAATGGCAACGAGAACGAGGTTCCTCAACCCACCGAATATCCGTACCGGGCAAAGGCAATCTATTCGTATGATGCCAACCCAGAAGACGCCAATGAGATCAGCTTTACCAAACATGAGATATTGGAAGTATCCGATGTTAGCGGCAGGTGGTGGCAGGCCAGGAAATCCAATGGAGACACAGGCATTGCTCCATCAAATTATTTGATCTTGTTGTGATCCGGATGGAGCTTCTCTGTGTAACGCTTTCTTTCTTCCCTTTTTGGTTTTTTCATGGTCCTCGCCATTTTGTTGCGAGAAAAATTATCTTTGATACCCTTCGAGTAGTATCACTCGGCGCGAGTCTGGTTTGCGAAGTCACGTTACGTCTTGATGGCATTTTCTTGCTTGTTTCAACATTCCTTGGTCCTTGCTTCCTTTTCGTTTTGTAAAGCGCATGTTCGGTTATCGATCTCTTTGCCTGAGCTTCTTTGAGCGGGCACCTGCGCGCTGATATATCATGCTCTATAAGTTTCAGCTGTCATGTTCCGGACATTACTCATTACATGCTTCAATTTTTATCTCATGTTGAACTGGAATGGTTAAGCTTTTCTTGAAAGTATGAAATCAAGGCTTTGTTCCAGCTCTAGGCAATAAAGCGAGTGTAGCTTCCGTCACTTCTGAGCGTAGCGAGGATCCCATCTGGTTGTAGTATAACACAATGTCGACCGGCGCAAGCGAGGCATGGCGCAGAAAAGAAAAGGCGTTGGTGCCTCATACCATGAAGCATGCCATCCAGGTTATAGTACTTAATTCCGACCATCTTTTCATCCTGTGTCAGTAGTTGCCACATGCGCCAAATATCGAGTATTTGTATTTCCAAAGCTTCGCTCGAGTCGACATCTTGGAATTGAAAAGCTTACTTGCTGATCATGCCGCAATGCTATATCGTCTTGGGATTCACCTTGCCCGGAATCGTTGTAAGGCGATTGACCTTTAGTTCTGTGAGGAACCAACCTGATAATTCATTAGTGGTAGATTGGGAGGTCCTTAGTCGTTGGTCTCTCTTGTGGTTAACCTGTCTCGACTTGGTTGCGAAGTCTGAGTCCTTCCTGCATCTTCCATCAGGACCCGGTAAAGTATATATTGGACATGTGATAGGATAGGTCTGGATCGACCAGAACCTTATCCGTAGCTCTAGCAATTTTATGGAAGTATAAATGCAATTCCTCTGAACCGACATACCTGAATGCGCATTCTTCTATCGAGCCACGAGAACAAACGGAATGTAATTGCAATGGTTCAGTACCATCTTATCGATCAATTGGAATTCTACGAGGAGTCCGTGCGCTTCTTCCAATGATTTCATGAAACCTCCATGCCTTAATATAGATAGTGTCAGAGACTAGCTGCGATTCTAAACTAGTTAGTTCCCTTAGGTACTGTACATGCATAAAACGCTGACATGTCAACGCTGCATGCACCATCGAAATGAGGCGACGACCGCCGAAATCTCTTTCCCAATAATCATTGCTCTTGTCGGGTTTCTATCGCTTCTCTTCTCATTGACCAGTCTCACTTCGCCGGGGACTCTTTGCGGCCCAAGCGTTGGGGTTTTCAGGAGAGATTGACTGGATTTACGCCCTCTTCCGATTATCATCCGATTCTATTATTACTATTACTATTTACTATTATTATACTACAAAGTGCGGGAATCCTACGGGTCAAGATCCCCCGCCGGTGGACTTTAGGTAAGGTAGGAATTCCCCGTGACTGCTGAAGCAATTGCCTTGTTGAGTAACTAGACAACAACTCCAACCGGGGTCGTTCGATAACTGAACTTCCCCTCAACCGCTCTCCGTTCCCTCTTTAGCCCTCGTTTTTCTTTTTTTACTCGCTTTCTTCTTCTTTTGCTTCCTTTACTTCCTTTACTTCCCCCTTTCCCCGCAGTCACGCTCCTTCTCATCTCGGAGGGGAACAGTGGAAAGAAAGTCTTATCAAATAGTTCGACTTGCGGTCGTTCCTGTTCCTCTCCTATACAAGAGATGAGGAGCGCTGCCCTTCCATTTACCCCGTCCATCACCGCACGGTGTGCCACAGTTATAGTTGTCGTCGCCAGTGCCGGTGATGGTCCAAGTCTCTCGCCGTCTTGACCATTTCAAGCGAGAGGAATAATGGAAGTGCCAGTATAGTCTCTCATTCATCTAATCCACTCCTTTACATTCTACTTCCTTGCCTGTTTTGTTTGTTACTTTTTTCCCCCTTGATTTTTCTTAAAAAAGAGATATATTTTCCTGGTCCCTGATTATAAAAAAGCTGTCGTGGGTGAGGCTCAGCCATGTCGACGACCAATTCCTGGAGCAAGTTTAAAGCCAAAGTGCTGCGGCGATCGTCGACTGTCAAGGCGGCCACTGGAGCGGAACCTTTCCTCGTGCCAAATTCCAGCACCGCCAACACCAACTCCTTATCGCCAGTGCCTTTGCGCTCTCCCCTCACGTCCGACAAGGGTTTCGCTCAACCCCGTTCGTGTAATTCCGTCTCCTCGTTATCTACTGCTCAGCGCTCAATCTCGGATGATACCTCCGTTCCCCCCGCGAGTCCATCGGCAGAACGGGGGCGGTATTACGGTTCCGTTGACGAAGGCTCAGTAGGGAAATCACAATCTCCTCGGGAAGAAGAACCATCACGACTACGCAAGAAGACCCGAGCTCCAGGACCATTGAATCAAAACCCCCTAACTCCCACCTTAGGATCACAAGAGCGACAATTATCCGAATCGAATCTTGATCGTGTCCGCGCTGTAATCGACCGTCATAGCTTGCCCCCGGACTTTCTAAAGTCCCCCCCACGGTTACTTGGCTCGAACGAGCTACTACAACAGTTACCTTTTGCTTCAACAGCGACCTCACCTCTGCCGACTTCGGGCAGTGGAACGTCTCAGACTGCGTACAACCAAGGGCGGGACCGTACAGGGTCTACGGTCGGCGAGCCCCAGTTACCCACACCCCTGACTGCTGTTGCGGAGAATCCTTCCGCTGCACCCTATAATCAAGCACCTATCTCCAGTACCGTTTCGATCCCAAAACGTCCTAGCCTCGGCTCACGTCGTCAATCGCTTTTTGCCCCGTCTCACCAGCATTTGATTAGCGATCTACTCGAGCAGCCGAGAACCTCCCTAGAAAACGACAGTAGTGGCCGCCTTGCCACCGGTACTGCTGGCATGCTACAACGCAAGATCTGGGTTAGACGGCCAGGGGGCTCGGCCACTTTGGTGCCGACCGCACATGATGCTCTTGTCGACGAGCTACGCGATCAGGTAATAATGAAATACGCCAACTCGCTGGGCAAGACGTTCGACGCGCCCGATATCGTCATTCGCATCGCTGCTCGAGAAGGCTCGAACAAACAGGCAACCCCGGATCGGATGCTAAGTCCAGAGGAGCCATTAGTCACAGTGGTGGACTCTTATTTTCCAGGCGGCCAAACGATAGAGGAGGCCCTGATTATCGACATACCGCCACGACGAACGCCGAAACCGTCACCGCGTCATTCTATCTACTATGAGCAAACTGAGCCGGGCGAACATAACGAATATTTCCCTCTCATGCCGATCCATCCCAATATTCCGACCCCGCCAGCCCATGCATCCAATTCTTCGGGCAGTGCCAGTGCTCATCCAGCCCCCTCAATAAGTATCCTCACGACCGGGATGGCACCGCCATTACCTTCGCCAGGTAGCCGGGGCAATCGCCATACCCGCCGGCCTCCTCTTACCCGACACACTACGAATTCGCCCACTGTATTAGGGCAATCGGCCAGCTCCAAGGGTTAGTGATCTGATATCTTGACGACTTTAACCGGCTCGGGACCATTTTAAAGATGCGTACTGACTGCTTATAGATGCTGGAGCCCAACAAACTGCCATACCTCCGCAGCCAGCTCCACAAGTCCCTACGCCACCTGTCCCGCCTCCAGAATCGCCTCAGAATAAATCGATGACCCCTCCTGCACGCGGCGCGTCACCTCGCCCTCGTCAGTCGGCAAAACCCAAAAAGAGCCCTGCGCAGTCATTAAGTGCAGCGTTCGGAGGACTCATCGAGGGCACTGTGCCACCAATTAATGTTCTCATCGTTGAAGATAACGTTATTAACCAGAGGTTGTTAGAGGCATTCATGAAGCGTCTTAGCGTGCGTTGGAAATGCGCCGCAAATGGTGAGGAAGCGGTCAAGAGGTGGCGAGAAGGCGGCTTTCACCTTGTTTTGATGGATATCCAATTGCCCGTTATGAACGGCTTAGATGCGACGAAAGAAATTCGCCGGCTTGAGCGTTTGAACGGAATAGGTGTTTTCCCCAAGACGGCATCCGGACGGTCAAGTGCTGCGAGTACCACCGCAATGACCCCGCCGGAGATAGACCCCGAAACCCATGATTCTTTGAAAGAGGAGGATGTACTGCATGATCTTTCACTGTTCAAGAGTCCTGTCATCATTGTCGCGTTGACTGCCAGCAGTCTGCAAAGTGACCGACATGAAGCATTAGCCGCAGGCTGCAATGACTTCTTGACTAAGGTATGTCTTATTGTTAATATCTTGCGCATGACCAAAGCTGACAAATTGGTAGCCTGTGCGATTCGAATGGCTGGAGCAAAAGGTGACGGAATGGGGATGCATGCAGGCTCTGATTGACTTTGAAGGCTGGCGCAAATGGCGAGGGTATGCAAATGATAACCAGTCATCAGCGACACCTGCACGTGCACAATTGGAAAATGGACGTGTGACCAAGAAATATTCTCCTGCCTTGCCAGATTCTTCTTTCCAAGATACGGCAGCCCGGCTTTTGCATCTTCCCAAGCCGTCGGATCTCTTGCCAGAAGACTCTTCTGGAGGGGAAGCACCTGACTCTCCTGCGAGCCCGTTGACCACTGTGCCTGTTGGGGAGACTTCGAGTCACCACGACGCGGCTCCGGATGCCGTCTAAGTTGCAGGAATTCACGTTTGTTTTGATTTTAGGCCCTCTCGGTTAGCTGGTCTCTTTTTTGTCACAATACATGCATGGTTGATGTTGCGTGAGCTTGTTCCGCTATTTGAGGCTTCTATGGATACCCAGCATAGCCCTTGTTGATTCCTTCTATAGCACTGTTGTTCGCTGGTTTAAAGGGGGCGGCTTCTTCATCTTTCGTGGTTTTTTACAGGTTATTCTCATGTTTATATATCTACCTTCAGGGGCATGCTCAAGCATACGATCGAGATTTTATGTTCGCTTTCTCCATTAAGATGTTTAATATCCTGACAAGTGATGTAGGCGTTGATGTCCTGATTCAATGTAAACTTGCATCGGTCTGAGATCGTTGCGCTAACACTGTTCAAGCAGGTGTGCTACTGCACCCACCAGTATCGTAGAGGTTGTCGGATTACAATTATATTCTGCGGTGCTGTATTTTACTATGCTCTAACCAAGATATAAAAAGTCAATACAGGGGAAATTGATCAGTATTCGGTCTTTACGACGTTAATTTGATTCAATTATAAGTACAAGTGAACGCTGACCCATCACATCCATATCTGTACAGAGGAGCATAGAAATACAAGAGTGTAAGAAAGCTAAGAGGTATTGATATAGAGACAGAGACTGGGAAGACATCCCGACTAGCGGTGATAATCTGGAGTTTAGACCTCCACGCGTGTGGGGATCTTGACTTGGCCCTTCTTCCGCTCGTAGCTGGGGATACCGTATCTGAGACCGGGGGCCTTAGAGCCACGACCATCTGTGCCGGTTGTCTCCTTGCTTACGACGACGTCCTTGAAGCGGAATTCAAAGCGTGAAGACTCGGGCTGAACCTTTGTTTGTTGCTGTTCCTGGCGCTCCTTAGCAATGCGCTTGCGCTCCTTCTCTGCGGTCTCCTCCTGGCGGAGACGTTCGTTGTATGCCTTGAAGACCTCACGGTATTCGGTTGGCTTAGACTGGCGGAAGCGCTCGTGCGCGACAAGGTGGGGGTGCGGGATACGGGCGTCCGCGGGCTGGAGAACTTGCTGTTCGGCCTCGCCTTTTCCGACCTTCTCAATATGGGAGGGGTTTTGCGTTATGCGGCTGATGGCTTCTGCCGGGTCGATAGCGTCGTTAGTGACTTGCTTGTTTTCGAGAGCTGGGGCGGCGGAGAAGACACGACCAGCATCGACACGGTTGAATTGGCGGGATTCGGATACAGGATAGAAGATTTGGGGATCGGTCAGTTTGTGGACGGGAAGATCGTTGATTGACTCGTGAGGTCGGTTGCGGTTGTCGCGAGTGTCTTCGTATAGGGGCGTTGTGGGTACCATTTCATGGATAGCCCGAGCGTATGGCAGGGCTAGTGATTTACCCTGTGATTCAAATTGTTAGCGATGAATCAGTCCTCTAATTGATGTGTAGAATAAATCAAGGAGAATTGGATGCAATCAGATATTAGGCGTTGTAACCATTCCCGGCCGATTAGACCGGGTCATAAAGACTAATCGATTTTATAATTGTCTCATCATTGCATTGTGGTGGAGGGCCCTGAGCAGGGTGCAAGCGGGAAATAAGGCAGAGAGAAACACATACCTGTTGTTTCTGACGTTTCTCCAACTCAACTAACCTCACAACAGCACCGACTCTCCGCATGTCGACGCCCAGATCTACACTGACAGCTCTGACACTCTTCTTCTGATTTACGACGCGGTCGTAGATCTCATTCCTTAGCTCCTCACTCAAAATGGTCTCGCTGACAAAGTTCTGGTTTAATGGGAACGGGCGGGTCCGTCCGGTAGGTTGTTCATCTCTCTCCTTGATTTGTGTGAGATAGTTGGTTGACCCGGGGACGTAGTTTTTCAGAGCGACGCCTTCACCGTTCAGCCAAGTGAACATCTCATTGCGCAGTCTCGTTTGAGAGGCCACGGTTGAAGAGAAGGGACGGCACGTCCGCCGAGATGTGGATGGAATTGATGAGGAAGAACATTGGGTAGGGATCTTGGAGATTGTGGAGGTAGAGGTGGAGGAAGAAAGGTAGGGGAGGAGAGAGTTGGTCACGAGCTGATTCTGTACTCGTGGTGGCATGGCGACGGGGTATATTACAACACTAGCTAAGTAACAAAAGGGGTATCAGGACACAGTGGGCTTCTATCAATGTAGATTAGCCCAATTGATGTCTGTTGAGGGAGGGTGGTATAGAGGATAGATGTCAACAGAACAACCGGAGGGCGAGGAAGAAACTTTTTTGCGCGGAGTGGTCACGTGAGAGGTACCAACCAGCCTAACTCATCTTGGACATGCGTGTAGCTAGCTCGTGGAGCCCATGGTTCTTACACCCTCGAAATTATTGTAATGATTCTTGATTGGCATGTTGGCAATAGCAATTATAAGTTCATTGAATGTATCAAGTACACGAAGAGCAAATTCCCGCGGAATGAAGATGAAAAATCGATATAGGTACGCCTCTTTCCCCCCACCCAACTGCCAGTGTAAATGAAGGGTTGAAGAAAACCGGATGAGAAAACCCAGAATATGCTCCCTAAGTTAACAATAAAAGCCACCACGCTGCTCGCAAGAATGCAAGTAAAAGAAAGAGCAAAGAGCAATCCGCTACAAATCAACTGGCCAAAGCCGGACGTAAAGGATCCCAGAAATGTATCTCAGTGTATAGCCCGTGAAGAACGCCTCTCACAATGGGTGTTTTCATGTAACCGTCGCAGACCTTTATCATAACATGGGATGGAATAATAAGCTGAAACCCAGTATCATGCCGCTCTTTTTTTTTTGTTTCTGTTTTGGTTTTGGTTTAGATTGGAGAGCTTTGCTTCCTTGACATAGCAAGCAAGCAGGCATTCACGCAGGCAGGTAAGAATGAGAAGGGGGGAATGGTATTCCTTGTAAACCCAAGGGACAAAGTGACAAGGTCCCATCCATGTAGAAAGAAAAGCATTGCTAAACCCCTCTGAATCAAACAGTGACGCCGGATGAATGAATGCGACACGAACTCGATGTCACTGATTGACCACAGACGAAGCTCGTCTTGAGACAACTCCTCGAACAACACTATTATCAATAACTCAGAAATAGCAGTACAGCACAGGGTATGAATGTGTACGAAACACAACAACAGGGGAATAACAAACAAACAAGAAGCCACTTGTCAGAAAGGTATAAAGGAAAAAAGGAAGATCAATCAGATGTCAAGACGATAATGCACCCCCAAAAGAAAATAAGAATGGAAGACCCACAATCCTGTGTTGTTCAAGTACATTTCAAGGAAACGAAAGGAGGATGGGGGAGGAAGAAGCGAAAACGGCAAGCAAGCTATAGAAGCAAGAGTCCCATGTTCCTTACTCCCAGGAGGAAGGGGAGCCTCCAAATGCTAATCTAGCTCGTGAAAAATCAAATCAAATCCCCAATGCGCCAGAAACCCAGTGATCGTCATCAAACATGTCGGACATTATCTCCACGATATGCTGCATCTTTCTACCGACCCATCATGTAGTCGGGGTAATAAGAATTAAACCCTCCCATATTCGGTCCTGAGCCACCGCCAGGGACCCCTCCAGAGAGTGGAGTGGTAGGGGACATCATGGAATTCATATGGTTTGTCCGAATTCCTAGGCCGGCATTTGGGTGGAAGGAGCCATTGTTTGGTACTGGCGCGTGGGGATGGCCAGAAGTATGCACGGCTCCGTTGTTTCGCAGCTGCAGTGGTGACACTAGGCCTGGAGGGGCCGAAAGACCCGGAGGAGGCCCGCTAACAGTGGAGAACATATGGTTGTGCATGCCACCAAGGCTGCTACCTCCAGAAACTGCACCTTGCGATGCAATATTATTGGATGCACTCATGGAACCCGGCTGCCCGGAACGAACTCCCAGGGGGTTCTTCGAGAAACTAAGACGGATACCGGTCTTGATGCTGTTGGAAAGTTTGTAGCCATACAGTTCATTCAAGGACTTGCCGGCTGTGCCCACATCCTCGAACTCCACGAAACACATGGGTCCGTTTTGCTTGTTGCGGAAGCAAAGGCGTTTGTATCCACGCTGCTTCATAAAAAGAGCTTTGAGCTCTTCTTCCGACGCGTCCGGTGGCAGGTTGCCCACATACAAAGTGTTGCAAGGTGGGTTCATGTCATTCGGGTTTGCGGCGGGCAAACTATGACGAGGTGTATGTGGATTGCCGTAGGGGAGCCCGTGGTTCGCACCCATGTTGTTGGTCATCGACTGGGGATATGCGGTCGAGGGAGTAGGAATTCCCATATGGGCCGAGCCACCAGGAGCGTAATTTGGCAACGGTGGCGAGGACAAATTGGTCGCCAGTGACAAGTTGGCAAACTGATTCGTGGGGAACTGGGGATTGGTGGAACGACGGGGGATGGAAACAGAGCCGGAGTGCCCATTCTCCGCATAGCCCACGGGATCTTTGAGAAGCTCACCCGTATCTTCGTCGAGGTCCTGATCAATCATTGACTTACCACTGACGCGTGGTAGATCATGGACACCATTTCCGATCGGGGACTGGGGCGAGAAAAGGCTATGGATGCGCGAACTTGATTCAGGAGGTAGGGCATCGCTGGCCGATGAGTTGGATGCGTTCGCCACCGTCAGCTTCTCCAGGCTCTGGAAAGTACCGTTAAAACGGGATGAATGCCGCGACAAGTGTCCATTAGACGTAACACCCCCCAATAAGCTACGCGTCGCGGTGTGGTCAATAGTATTGCGCCTGGGTCCCCCCAGAGCTGAGCCGATGGGACTATTATACATTTCCACGATCATGTTCGCATCATTATTGGAGTTCGGCTTGCCATCGAGCAAAGCCCGCGCCTCCTCGGCTGCAGCGACCGTACCAAATCGTGCGACTGCGCTCACATACCCGCTATCTTCGGGGGGGCTATTCTGTTCAAACTCAATATCCACGAGATCTTTAGCAAATAGAAGCATGCTGCGCAACAGCTCAAGACTAGTGCTCTTCGGAAGTTTTCGCATTAGGATCGCGCCACCCGTTCCGGGTCGAATGAAGCCGTTAAGGCCCTGCGCCGACCGATCAGCGTCGCTTAGGCGCATGGTGGCGGAAGGCATGTTATCGAAGGCCGACGGCGGACCGAGGGGTGTGAATGGATAGGTGAAGGTTGGACCTAGTGATGTTGACGCCTGCGATGTGGATGAAGTGTACACGTCGGTCGACATCGCATTCTGGGCCGTTAAAGGCGCCTGAGAGGATTGAAGCGACTGATGTGGAGGCGACGCGCCCGACGACACGGACGGCGTGCGATGAGTGGTACTCAAGGACCCAGGACTCGTACGGGTAGACTGGTTCGAACTGCCACTCATGCCTCGCGGATCGATGATCCTAGTTGTTAAATGGATCGACAAATCCCACGAGCAATGAAGGCAGGATTAGGTTCTCCAGGTAAGGGGAGGTGGGCAACGGGAGGCAACAGATGACAGGTGCCTATTGCTGAGAAGTGCGTCACAGATTATAAGTTTATTTGACCTGAAAAGGTGAACCACAGTGACAGTGACAATAATCAATTCATTTATTCGTCGTTGGGATGCGCCAAGGCGAGTCGAGGACGAACAGATCGTGAATATTGAATAAAGAAGCGATGCGACAACGGGCCGATCAACCGACAAGGAGACGAATAATGATCGCACGACGGGAATAGACGGATGAAGCAAATGCGAAGGAAAGGGAAACGAGAGGGAGTGGCTAGAGGATGAAAGGATGGTTGAAGGCGATGGTGGGAAGAAAGAATCGTATCAGGGGGGTGTGGGAAGAAAGAGTAAGGTGGAAGAGGAGAAGGGCGATGGAGCAATGAAAGGACAGGAGAGAAGTGAGAGAGTTCGGGGGAAGGATAAAGTTAGATTGGGTTTTGGGGGGGAGGCCGGAGAGGGGTGGCAGTAAGTAAAGCTGGTAACAAGTTCTCTCCAGTGGTACAGGCAGTACCTATGGACAGTCGATGACGGGGGATAGTATATTATGTATTGCCGTTACCTGATGGTAATCACGCCGAAGGAACAAGCTCAAAGTAATGATATAAATATATTTATTCATATATATTTAAAGAGGGAAATGAAATTACAGGTGGGCTCTGAATAGGTAATAAGGGAAACTATAAAATAAAACAAAAAAAGAAAGGAAAAGAAAAGGGAAAAAATAAATAAATAAGAGGTTGATAAGGAATAGGCAGAGAAATGATTGTAAGAAACCAGAAATGAGCGTCCCGTTGCAAAGTCCGGAACGGTCTTTTCCCCAATAACAATGAAATGAATGAATAATAGGGACTTGGGAGGGAGCGATGGTGTCAGTTGAGCGTACTGGGGGCGGCAGTGCGTCCTTTTGGTCCACGGATCGAGTCTGACTCCGTTCCAGGACAAGATTGAGTGAGTAAAAGTACAGTCGCCGAACTAAACCCAAGAAAGCAAGTAATTAATGACCAACGACGTCGTGACTAAGAACGCTAACTAAACTGCTGTCCAATCGAAGCCGCTGAACACCAGATGCGCGACCCGACAATTCAGTTGACACGACGCGCTATTGTGAGCACTGAGCACTGGTATGAAGTCGATCGACCCTGAAGGCCTTCTGTTAAAATAGATCGAAATGTCTGGCCAGGTCGGCCCCTGAAGTGGACACTGTCATATCCTGATTTTGAGCATCACTTACCGAGTGCAGCAAGCCTGAGGCTACCTCCTACTACGCAAACATTGCTTGAGTATTCCGGATGCGAACGTGTAAGTGCGTGTGCCTTGGGTGCGAGGGCGTGGAGAGAGGCCCGAAGCGTTTCCTCAATAGATACTGTGTACCTACTCCGGAGTACAACCATACCGGAATGAGTGTAGGGACAAATTCCTCCTACATTGAATTATATTAACGAAAATCTTACATTGGCCTATTTTCTTCCGTCCGTATTCACATTCCTTTTTTATTCTCTTTTGCCCAGTTTTAAGGTTCTATTGTTTACTAGAACTGAATGGTTGACTCAGGTACCGCATACCTTGCGACAGAAGGCATATCCACTCATAGTCAGTCCACTGATTTGATGGCATTCAGCCGGAGTCATTCTCCTTTCCTATCAGTA